ATAACAAAAAAAATCATAAAGAAGTTCGTATCGTAGCGTAAGTTCGTTTGTATAGTAACGTAAGTTCGTTCGTATCCTAAAGTAAGTTCGTATGGAATTTCGTAGTTATACAGAAGTTTGTAATAATATGGAGTTTTGTAACAACATGAAATAAATTATTTTTAAAACTTTAGTTAGTTTCTCATAATATACAAGGCATCGGGTAGAACCTTGTTGTTTTCTGGTTGCAAAGTATTTTTGAATAGTGCTAAAACAACCGTATAAAAACAAAAATTGTGCAGGGCAGGATTGAAAAGTAATGTTTTTGTCGCGGAAGGAAATTGATACACTAAATTGTAAACTAAATAAAAAATAAAAGCGCGTAGAGGGTTTTGATGATATTTTAGAAACTACCAATAAAGCAAAAGTAATTGAGATTAAAGACATTATTTGTAGAGTTCTAAAGTTTCTGCAACAGGCCTTCAAAACTTGTGTCACGCAAGGAACGATAAAAAAGCCATAAAATTAACTTTCTATTTTGGGTTTAAATTCTTTCAAAATTAATAGAGATACAGCAAAAAAAAAGTTAAACTTACAAAAGTGTTTTAACAAATATTATTATTTTTTTTTAATCCAAATCAATTAAAGTCATTTAATGTTATGAAAGGACATGTCACGGAAGGGCAAAAAATACACATTAATGAGGCTATCATATAATGCTTTTTTAAGCAAACAAAAAAAAAATTTCATAGACTTCATAGATTTTTTCATCATTGTCAATAATTTTGAACTTCTCCTTTAGATTCCCTATTATTTTTTTTCCATGCCAACGATTTAAAAACATCTGATGATTTTTTAAAGGTGCTGTTTAAATATAAGTTAACCGAATTTTGATTTAATCTTCTAACATGGTGAACCTTTAAAGTTCCTTGAGTATAAATGCTATCATTTAAATTTGGTGACTCAATATCTTTTGTGTCTAAGTAGATTACTGTAATGTCACATAGCCAATCAGCTACTTCAAAAAACTATTTAGCATTTTCAATTACAACTTTAGATGACAAAACTTCCCTATAAACTTGGTTTTTAATAGTTCCACCAATTCCATCCTGGGGTCCTTTAAAGTGATGTGCCTCACCATAACTCCAAGTCAGTGTAATATTTTCAGGGTAGTAAGAGAAGGACCGAAAGACAAATTGAGATCGGAACTGACCAGCACATCCGTCACTCCAGAAATGGTAAGTGGAAACAGATGGAGCTATACCCTTGATGATGCTTGATGAAGCCGGTTGCTGTTTGTAAATGCAACATTGCGATCATGTTTTGTTTCATTTGATATGATTGCTACTGGAAACTTCACCAAATTAAATGTTTTATCAAGTTTACCATTCTGAACTGTGATACTTTTATGGAAGTAACAAGCTGCTGTAAATATGGTAAAATGTTCATGCCCAAAGTAAGCACTCTGGATCTCATGGAGTTGTTTATTTTTGTAGTTTGGAAAAATCGACACTGATTATTACTTCATCTTCTTTGAGATTTGTCTTCAGCCATTTTAACTCTGAAAACTGACGGTAAATATTATACTTATTCATTCTCATTTTGCTGCCATCAACCATTTCCATCAACCATTTCCATCAACCATTTCTGATAAAAGCATTGCAGCTTCTTCACCAGTAGCTTTTTCTTGAACTTTTCAAACGACCTTTTTTGAGGTTATCCAACGGTAATATTGAAAAACATCAATTTTTTTAAATTCTTGACACAAATCAGATCAATTCTTGACACAAATCAGTGACTTGACAGAGCATACAATAAGTTCCACAAGATCCAGAGGTTCAGCTGGTAGATTTTCAACAATTTCATTTTTTTTTTCTTTGATAAAATATTTTTTTATTGCCTGTAGCAAAAGTTGACCATTTTCACAAGTTTCACATCGTCAAACTTTTTCTGTCGTTTTACTTAGCATAATCAGGTTATTTTCAGCATTAATAACTTCTCGTAACTGATGATAAGTGATTTTAATGTCATTCTCTTTATTAAATAAGTAAACAAGTTCTCTGTATGTATAAAGCATGAAATGCTTTAAACGATAGACTTTAACACCATTAGATTTTCCACAGTAAACAGTATCTTTCCTGCCTGGAGAACAATAGCTTATATCTGGTTGTTCTGAAAAATGAACTACTTTTTCTTTGTTTACATGTATCAGTGATGGCCTTCCAATTTTAAAAGATAGCTTTCTTCTAGAATTAAAAAACATGTTTTTTTTTTTTTTTTTTTTTTGGCGATAAACTTTGCACAAGAGCAGATAAAACTTTAACTTGAAGTGGACTTTTTTTTGGCATAACTCGTTTTAAACGATATACCACTTGATTAGTTGTTCCATCTTTGTATACTGTTTCCATCTGAAAATAAGATAACTCATATCCAAAGAAAAAAAATAAGTATGCAAAAACATATTAATAAAATACATAAGGAATTATAATAAATCATATGAATAACATACAAAAATCAAAATAAATGGCATAGTTTTACAATAAAAGCAAAAATATTTGCAATTATAAAAAGTGCTTTTTACTCAAAATTTATCATGGAAGGATTCATACTTTTTGTATAAAATGTAATTTTCTAACATTGTCATCAATGCTAAGAAAATGCAAACCTTTTTTTGAAACACATCATACTTGGGTATTTCTAAAAAAATAGTGAAGTCCTTCAAAAAAGTTATATGCATTCTAGATATTCCAAATTTAATTTATTCTGTTTGTCCTTCCGTGACAATGAACAAGGTTATAGGTTGACATTAAAGGGTTGATGAAGGGCAACTACAGTCCTATATTTATCTTTAAGGTTAAAATTGTAAATTTAGCTATTCTGCTAATGAAAAAAGTATGTTGGAACGGTTAGAACATTTTTTTTTAAGTTTTATGTCACTACTTTTCAATCCTGCCCTGCAACAGGTTTTTTGGTTGTGTATTTAGTGTTGTAATAATAAAAAATAGAGAGAGAAAATTATCTACAAAATTTTTTGCAAGACCGTCAGACTATATTTGCGCGCAAGTTTACGCGCAATGGGAGTTTTTTTTATATGTCAACGAGATGTTAACGAGAATTCAATCAATAAAAAATAAAAACCAATAAATCAAATAAAAAGTGTAAAAACAATAATGATTTTTTTAAACATTTCAATGGAAACATATGGTTGTAGACACTCGTCGAGTATGTCACGAGTGTCAAGCAATATCAATGTTCCGCAATATCAATATAAAAACTAATTTAACCTTTATTGTTATACTAAATTGTGTTTAGTTTTTTTTTTTTTCAATAACAAAAAAAATGCTAAACACAATTTATTGTTTGCATTTCTGTAAGTATTTTCTGTAATTTATTCCGTTTGCAAAAAAGTTATTATTATTATTTTTTTTGAATTGCGTTTTATTTGTGACCTTAAAAAAAGTATAATAAAAAGAACACAGTAAAACATTTTAAATCAAAATACGAAATAATTTTATACAAATTTTTCAAAGAGTTTTAGTAGTTTTTTTAAATCAGTTTACAGGGAACAAACAAAACCACTTTTCGAAAACATTAACTATTTGAGTGGGAAGGTCCCAGATTCCAATATTTACTTTTTTTTTTGAGGTGGTTGATTAAAACGCTAAGAATGAAACACTCAATACATTCTTTACATAGAGTTTCTTGTTGAAATGTTAAAAGCATTTGTCATAATTTAAACAGGCATTTGTTATAAAAATTAGAATAAAGTAACTAATGTCACACATCTTCATGGCAGCTTTTTTAACAAAATGTGTTATTGTAACAAATCAATCATTTAATATAATATCATTTTGTGTTGTTTTATTTTAATATCAGGTTTTTAACCAGTTAACAATCACACACTTGATTGCCTAAAAAAATCCTAAAAAATTCACGCACAATGTAACATGCATGTAACATTAGCGATTGTCTGGAACTAGTTTAAATTATTACTCAGGCTAATAGTTTAAAATAGTTTAAACTATAAGGCAAATATGCGCTATATTTGAACCCTGTTTAAACTTTCAAGTTTAAACAGGGTTTACCTTTTTGAACTTTTGAACTTTTTAATATTGGCTTTCAAAATCATTATTGTGGATAATAATGAAAAATTAATGTTATTATGCTGTGGTTATTGGGTTAGAGTCTTACCACTCTATCCCATCGTTAACCTCAAAGTTATGCAAACGATTGGCGAAGGGTACGAAATTGCAACTCCAAGTATTTGTTTTAACAGCAAAGTTGAATTTTTCATTTTTTTGTCTTAATTTTTTTGTTTTAATTTAGAATTAATCCAAAGACTTTTTTGTCTTAATTTAGAATTAATCCAAAGATTTCATACGCTTATATTGTATTGATCATCAGAGCCGTGGCTACTAAATAGAAGGAAGCAAAGGGGAGGGGGTATAAGTGCATGCACTTATATTATGTTGACTATCACCAATTTTATAAGCCAAATTCTTAATACCGTCCCAAAAATATTTTCATTAAAAGTAAGTCCAACTTGGTTTTTAAAAGAAGCGTTCGGGATAACTTGTTTTTTTATGTCAATGCTTACTCAAAAGTAAAAAAATTTATTGGTTCTATTTTTAAATTGTTTGATTTGAAAAGTTGGTAAAAAAAAGTAAATGTTGCTGATGATGTTGCTGCCTGAACTGTCGTCTGCGGGATCGACCTTTATATGCTTTTTATTCAAAACAGAAACGAGCAAAATATTTACTGTTTTATTTCATCAAAAACTATTTATCCAAAACGGTATATTAAATATTTTATAATAATAGTATATATATATATATATATATGTATATAAAAATAAAAACATTTTATTTTCACATTGGCGGAATAAGAAACTACTCTAGTTTTTTTTTTTTAACTTTAGTTACGAAAAAATTTGCATAAGTTACGAAAAAATTTGCATAATTTGCATAAGTTATAAAAACTAAAAAGATACATAAGATTTTTAAAAACAAAAAAAAAAAAAAATATATATGTCGAACAGTGCCATTTAATTTCTAAAAATCTATTTGATATCTTCTCTTTCTTTTTAATGCATTTGTGCGTGGGCAATATTAAAACTGAAAAGCTTTTAATTTTTACATCAAAAACAACAACAAATAATAATAAAAAAATAAAAAAATAATATAAAATATTTATACATGGAAACAATAATTTCACGATTCGTGGAGAAGAAGAATAAGACGTTTTTTTAAAAAATTCTTTCTTTGGTTTTTTAAATGTTTTTTTCCATCTAGGAATATGTTATTCACAACCAGCATATTAACCGGAATACGGGTTATTCTTATGGTTTGTTTTGAAACTTTGGTCAATACCACGTCAAACGAAATGTCGATTTCACTTTGAGCTTTTTTACTTCGCAGACAGCTTCATTACTTTTGTATCCTCTCATAGCGATGCAATGACGAGTGATTTAATATCAAACACAATCCACCTTGCTACCTTGCTCATCTCGGAACAAGCAAAGCAACTATAAACGGCAATATTAGAAGTAGAACAGAAGATCTAACCGAGGCTGCACTACTTATTTTATCTTGTTTTCCTGATTTAACTGTAAATTAAAAAGAAAAAGTTTTTAATTACACTTTTTGATTTAACTGATTTTTAAAGTCAAAGATTTAAAATTATTTTAAAGTAACATAAAAAAAAACTGTTTAAAAACTTTAAAACTACCTCGTGGCCCTGTAGTAAGCGTGCTAACAATGTCCGAACGCGGTCCGACACCATACATATTTTCAACAGCCACTTGGAAAAAGTATAATGTACCTGAGTTTAACCCATGTATAGTCGTTACAACATCGTCAGTACTTTCATTCAATGCTGCTTCCTTTTTCTCAGAACTTCCTTCTTCCCAATAAAATACCTTAATTATAAATTATAAAATGATTTTAATTTATCCACCACATTACAATATATGTTAAAATTGACAAAAATATATATATATATATATATATATATATATATATATATATATATATATATATATATATATAAATAAAATATAAAAATAATATATAACAAAGAAAAAAGTTTTTAAAAAATTTTAATTTTTTGAAACACTTTAAAACAATTTATTATTTTTTAAAAAAATTATAAAAAAAAAAAAAAACTCATAACCCTAACATGTATACATAAATACACCTGTAATATAAATATTAAATGAATATACAAAAAATACCTTGTAACCAGTGATTTTAATTTCAGTAACTGGAGCCCAAGTAAGTACAACCGCTGATTTACCAGTCATTGTAATGGCAGGCGCATTAGGTTTTATTTTCGGCACTGTAATATTGAATTAATTGTTTTAGGCATCCTTATTTACAAAATATTTATTAATTATTTACATAACATATGTTAAGCACAGAATGCTTGTTGAAACACTTGAAAGCACAAAATATCAAAAGCAAAAATTATTTTTTAATTCAATTTTTCAAACTCAGTACTTACATTTTGAAAAATCAAAAGTTATTTTAGCAGATTCACCCATTCCGGCTCCAGTAACTGCAGCAATCTCAAACTGGTAGGTTTTATAACTATTCGGAATTTCCACTCTTTTAATAAGTTCATCTATATAAACAATTTCTTCCTGAAATGTGCCATTTGGAAGATGAAAATACCAAAAAATGTAGTGCCTAATTTTTCCATTAGGCAATAAAGGTTCATTCCATGAAAAAATAGCATAATCTATTGAAGCTTCTTGGATTTTGAAATTAGCTGGTATACTTGGTACTAAACAAAAAAATATATCAAATATATATCATATATATTGGGCAGGTAAAATATGCATATGGAAGACAAAAAAAGTTTTTGTTTTTATAATTGTTCTTGTTTTTCTTCTTTGAATTACAGGCTGTTTTGATAAAAATTGGTATTTAAAAATTTAAAGTGAAGAAAATATACAAAGACAGTGCCAACAGAGGCTATTCTACAAATAAAATAAGGGGGTAGGGTGAATCCTTAAAAAGTACCGACTGGCTACTTAAAAAAAAAAAAAAGTCACCAATACAAAAAAAAATTAGACTAAATTTGTAAAAAAACCGACTATAAATTGAAAATCACCTTCTTTGGGTGATTTTCTAGTTAAAGTCACACCCCACACTCATACCCTATACCCATAAAATCACCTCTGAGAGCCAACCTGAATATGCAGGAGTAGATTCAGGTCAGAACTTTCCTAATGTCAAATGAATATTTTTTAAACTAAAGATTTTCAATTAATTAGTATATGTTTGAATAAACTCATGAAAAAAAAAATCTTTCTGCAAAATATGTTTTTGTTAAATCTTTTTTTGTCTAAAAAGTATTTTTGTTTAAATAATAAATACAAAAATCAGAACATATATCGCTTCGAGTTCATTAATTTGTTTAAATTTCTGTTGTTTTTTTGTTTTGTTTTTTTCTTTCAAAAATACTTTTCAAATAAAAGTTTATTTGCCAGTTAAATTTAAAAAAATATATTATTTTCCAGTTTCATTATTGTCACACATGCCAATAATAAAATTAAATTGAGAAAATTAAACCCATAAAACTTATTGCTTCAATTATTGTAAATGAACATGGTCAGCATTTCACTATGTTTTACTTTAACTGATAGCCTGGTATAACTGTATGAAATAAATATAATCTGATTTCATTAACAAAGTTTTAAAAAATGTTGTAATTTTTACAATGCAAGTGTAATATTTTATTCATTTTTATTGAAAATGTGTTCATGTGACATTGGTTCATTTTTGATGTCAGAACGCTATAAAACTTCATTTACTAGAAATTAAAAAAAAAAAAATGTTATTACATGACTTAGACACTGATACTCATCAGAACATTTTATGGAATTGCACACTTATAAAGAATTATTTGCAATCGCCATGCCTATTACTTTAGAAAGAGATTAGAAAAGAATTGTTGTGGTGTTTATAAAGTACATAGAACCAAGAGGTGTACCACCAGCATACCCCAGTGAAAATAAAAGACAAAATAGGATGAGCCATTTACTCATATTAGTTTATCTAGAAAGTTTAAGAGGATCTCCTTAATAATCTATATAGTGTTGCTTAGCATCAACATATTGCCTCTAAATAAAATACATAAATAAATATATAAAAAATCAATAAACACAAAACTCAATTGACTTGAATCTTTTTATTTTAAATGCAAAATGTGTTTGTTTTTATTTTTGTTTTATTGATTAATTTACTTAGGAATTAGTGCGCTTAGCTCAGCAAAATGTACATTGACTGACTTGAATAGGAGAACATGTACATAAATCTACTCAGGGTTTTGGCTTAGCCAGGCAATAGTTTTATTTAAAAAAAAATTTCTTCAAATTTTTTTTTTATGTTAACAGAATTCTAGATATAGAGACTTTTGTACATAATTTATTTTTCATTTAAATAATAAATAATATATATTATTCATTATTTCAAATAATATGTGACATTTTTAATTTTTAATTTTGTTATAAAAATTGTCATTCAACTTTGAAACCATATATTTTGCATAATGATTTTTTTTTCCCAAACATATAATGATCTAATTTAAAATTTTAAGTTTAAAAAATTTACCTCAAATCCCAACTTTTATTGGAGATTATTAGAATATTTAATACTGATTTCAGGGCATTTTACAATTAAAATATCAGCTTTTAACTTAAGTATTTTACTTCTTCACCTGAAGATTAAAGTAATTATCTTTAGCTTTATCTCTTGAATATTTGATTTTATAAGAAAAATATAAATTTAAAAATGGTAGAAATTAACCAAAACAATGATATTAGCCAAAACTAAATCCATCATAACTCATAAAATACAGGAGGTAACGTTTTGAAATTCTAGAAATTATCATCTGTTATAACTACAATAGTAATAATATAAAGAAAAATCAGGAACATAGGGTTGCATTTAAAAAGAAACATTGTCTGTATGAAAATGGATTTACTCTTAAAATTTATAATTTTTTTATACATTTTTAAATCACGTTAAATTATTAAATAAGAAATAAAAAATAATTACCAATTTTACTATTTATAATCTACAAACTATATTTAAAAATATAACATGTAATCATGGTAAAGTTATTAAACAAGTAGCAAACTTATGTTTTAAGAGGTTTATTCATTAACTATATTGTATTTTATTTTAACAAACAGTCTTTTAATGATTTTATTTCTCATGTTTTCATTTTTTCCTCTTATTTACTCAGTGTTTATTTTTACCCAAGAAAATATATACATATTTTTTTTTCAAGTGAATTCATTTTGCATTTTAAAGTGAGCATTTTGGTATACTTTTGACAACTGTCAAAAGTACTGTCAAACTTTCAAAATGCTAACCTGACCAAAAACCTTATTCTGCTATGTCTTAAGATATATAATCATTATTTATATTTTCTTATTACCACTTTCAGGTGTTTTGAGAGGGCCAAATGTAGAACTTGATGGACCATCACCCGCACTGTTGTATGCTAGTACTTCAAAATAATACTCAGTATTTGGTAATAGCTTGACACTTGCGCTATTGCTATGTGTAGTCAGATATAGTTCATTTCTTGCATTTTTTTCAAGAGGATTTTCCCAGTAAAAAAACTAAAAAAAAAAAAAAAATATATGAATTTATAGTTAATATAATAGGCATACTTACCTACTTTTTTTTTCTTTTTTGAGGATTATAAGCAGAGTTGTTAACAAAGCCAAAAGTAGCAAGGCCACATGTTACAAGACCAAGGCCAAGACCAAAGCCAAAAGTTACAAGACCAAGAATAAGAGTTTCAAGGCAATTGCTTTCGCAAACATTTTCAAGGCCAGAGACTTAAATTTTTGCTTTACATTAATAAAGTAATTATGTAAAATAAAGAATGATTGTAATTATTTGAAGAATGATACGTAATTAATTACGTAAAATAAAGAATGAAAACTTTTAATTCTTTAACTTTATGTATTTTACTATTAAGGCAAAGATCAGAAGTTTCAAGGTTAAGGCCTTAATTTTTTGCCTTAAAGCAAGGGCAAGGCCAAGGACTAACAACTCTGATTATAAGTTTATATATATATATATATATATATATATATATATATATATATATATATATATATATATATATATATATATATATATATATATATATATATATAGTCTTCTCCTTTTGACACTGGCAGGATAGTCATTTTTAAGTTAGTCTGCAGGATTTTAAAAATTCTTTTTTTATGTAATATAAATTAAAATTAAAATGACGAAAATAATGCTTTGAATAAATATTTTAACAAAAATAATTAAAAAATAACTGGTAAAAAAAGCCTTTTTTTATAAAAGTTTAACAAATTAACAAAAAAGTTTTATTGCAATTTAAAACAAAACACTTTTATTTTTTTGGCAAGCAATTGTTTTTGCCAGTATATGGACGAGCTCAAAAAGTCTTGAGTGCAAAAGCGCTGGCTAAACGGAGAAGTGTGTATATATACATATTTATATATACATATATTGATAACTTCAGTATCTCAGTACATCTTATTTTATATTAATTAAAATTAATATAAAATATGATGGTTGTTTTAAAATAAATTTTCTTAGGTATGGCTATTACTCTTGTTGCTGTTACCGAAAATACTCCAGTAATTTCAGTAAAGAATATACATATAAAAAATTCTACCCTGAACAGTTGGTCGCAATAACACCTTTCATAAGTTTCTGAACAAAACTCTCTTTTGTTCAGAAAATTATTAAATTTTTTATTTTATTTTGAGTTTGAAGTCCAATGATTATTTCAAAATAGTTTGCTGGCAACATATAACTGTTTATAATTTTTATTTAGTATTAGTTATTCTTATAAGATCATTTGTAGTTTTGTATTTACCCATAAAGTACTTGTTGGCATCTTGTTTGGAATGTAATAATCAATCCTCCTCTTCATGTATAAACAAACAATTGAGTAGCTGAACAAAGTATTTTTCATTTGAACATGTATAAGATTTTATATATTTTCAAAAATTTTTATCTAATTGCATATTGCATTAAAAACTTTAATTTAGTATAGATATGACTTCAACAATCTAAAACCACAATAGATTGATGCAAAATTTTTAGTATATGATACATAGATATGTAGCAAATGTGATTTAAAAATAAAATATTTCCATTTAAAGTTCTTCTAATTCAATAGTATCAGGATTTATAATAGAAACTCCACAAAATCTTAACAAATGATCACTTAGCTGTTCATCAATGACTCAGTTTTATGCAGTTTTTTAATTTAAGTCATCTATATTTATGATCATCTTTGTTATTGGAATAAAGAAAAACCAAAGTTAAGTACATTTTTCAACCTTTTTTAATACTAAAGCAATAACTTAAATCTTTAAACTGCATTTATCCAGCAAGGAGTGTTTTAATTTAATTTGAAACCAGTAATAGAAACTATAAATCCAATCATTTATTTGTAACTTATGTTTTACTTTTATTTATAAAAAAAAAATCTGGAAAATAAAATAGAAGACAATAAGCCTAGAATAAAGTCTCTATGTTTGTTAGATCTTCTTGTAACATACTTTATATGTAATTATAACTACATAGCTATGTTCTAAGTAAAAAGAAAGAAAGTTTTCATTTGTAACTGTACTCTCATAAAATTTAGTAGTAATTGTAATTAAAAAAAATCTCGGATCATGTTCTCTAATTATCATGATTATCCTTCTATCAAATTTAATGATAAGTAATGTAGAATTTGTTCTATTTTATTCTGTTAGTTTATCTTATCATTTACATCTTTGTAAAAGTCTTCAACCTCAAAAAATGTGTGACTCCTCCCCACACATATTTTCCCCAGTTTTTTGTTTTGAATTAATAATCACTAGAACTACTTTTCAACAAATTATATGAAAAAGGAGTGATATCAACAATAGAAAATTTCTGTGTTCATAAACAAAAACTTAATTGCATATTACAAAAACATATAAAAAAAAGGATGAAGAAAAAAATCACAAAAGGATGAAGCCCCGTTTAGTGGGCTCTAATGTAAAGTTTTTAAATCTTAAAAACATATAGTAACTGTTTATTGCAACAACAAAAATAATAGCCATATAGATGTAAATTTTATCATAAAATAACTTATTTTATCAAAAATAATTTTTTAAATTAAAACTACTAAATGAGATGCAAGTTGAAGGAAAAATTTAGATACAGGGACTTTAAAATGTTAAAAATGTGCCTAAACACAATTGGGAAACATCATTAAAAATCAAAAAAAAAAAAATCCCCTTTGTACCTAGAACCACTAATAGAGCCACTTTGTACCTAGAAATGGTTTTAAGTAAAAGGTCTCTATAAAATATAATTATACCCAAAACATTTTCAAGTTGTTTTAAAAATTACTATTTCAGATTTTCAAACAAATTTTTATAGTATTTTAAGTTTGTAAATGACTCCTGTTATATGATATGATCTTAAATAATTTATATATATATATATATATATATATATATATATATATATATATATATATATATATATATATATATATATATATATATATATATATATATATATATAGTATGCAAAAAAAAATAATCGTACACTTGAAAAAAAATCATAATTTTAAAGATTACATCAAAAAAGTTTTTCGTTAAAATATTTGAAAATTTTTTTTAGATATCTTATCAAGTTTTGTTTTAAGAATTTATTTGTGTATTGGTGAGTTAATTGCTTTTCATACCTATTAAATTTTACACAATTGATCTAATGATGCATATAATTGACTGCAAAAAAAAATCATACAGTTCAAAAATAATGTCAAATTGATCAAACTTCATGAAATTTAGTATCGAGTGGGGCCTCCTTTGGCCTCGATGGTCTCAGCTAGATGATTTGGCATTAAGTTAATTAAATTTGGGGTTTCTTCTGTTGTTATATTATCCCATCGCTCATTATAGCTTCTTTTAAGTCGTCTTTTTGTCTAAATGCTCGGTCACCAATTTTTCTGTCCAAAATATACCACAAATTTTCTATAGGATTCAAGTCCGGATTTTGAGGTGGCCATTCCATAACATTGATGTTATTTGTGTCAAAGTATACCTTTGTTTTCTTAGCAGTATGTTTTGGATCAATATCCTGCTGCAGTATAAAATCTATTCCCATTCTCAATTTTGTAGTAGATGGTCGCAAGTTGGCTTTAAGAATTTCACAATACATTGAAGCATCCATTTTTCATCAATAATTGTCAAGTTCCCTACCCCTTTTCAACTCATATTACCCCAAACCATCACATTCCCTCCTCCATGCTTTACACTACCTCGCAAACAACTTAATTTATAAGCTTCTTCTTTTTTTTGCCACACTTTTTGAACTCCATCCGATGAGACAAGGTTGTATTTGGATTCATCTGACCACAAAATTTATTTCCAATAAGATATCAGCATTTTTTCGTACTTCTTTCCAAATTCTAATCGACGTTTCATTTGTTTTGAAGTCAAAAAAGGTTTTTTTCGAACTACTCTACCTCTATATCCTTGTTCTCTAATACGATTTCTAATTGAGGGGTTACTGTGATATTGTGATCTTCTTGAACTTTTAAAGCTAATTTAGCTGCCGAAACAAATCTATTTTTCTTCACATTAATGATGATATTGCGATCAATTGCACTAGTGGTCTTGCGTTTTCGTCCTCTGCCAGCCACTCTAGCAACAGTTCCAATCAGATTATGCTTCTTAACAATTGAGGACACTGTCGTAAAAAGAATTGTTTATTAAAGAACTTAAACAGTTTATAAGGGACTTAAGGGTTATAAGCAGTTTGTAAGGGACTTAAGGGGCCTGTTTCTTTTTGGATCTGACGGTAGGATTTTCCTTGATTTTTTAAATCAACTACGAGGCTTCGTTGATGGAAAGACAAATGTTGTTTTCTTGACGCCATTTTGCTGAAACACTATATTTTATTTCTAGAACAAAAGTGTATTTAAAAAATTACTATTTTTAATTTTACTAACTAGTTTAATCGTTTAATTCGCTCAATTTATGCTAAAATAACGACATATTTTGTCAGCGTATGATTATTTTTTTTTGCAGTCAATTATATGCATCATTAGATCAATTGTGTAAAATTCAATAGGTATGAAAAGCAATTAACTCGCCAATACACAAATAAATTGTTAAAACAAAACTTGATAAGATATCTAAAAAAAAAAATCAAATATTTTAATGAAAAACTAATTTTTTTGATACAATCTTAAAAATTACGATTTTTTTTCAAGAGTACCATTATTTTTTTTTGCATACTGTATATATATATAAATTTTGTTTACAAAAAAAAGCCAAATTATCATAATCCAAAAAAACGAACTATATGCACAAATACAAACTTTGTATCCTAGGAATCTTCCACGCATTGACAAACGATCTTTAGCAACTTCATCCCAATAAGCTCTTGCAGTACAGTCTTTTGTTATTTCAACTTTAAAGTTTGTAGGGAAAACAAGTGGTGCTATTATAGAAATATAAAAATATGAAAATTGAAAATCTTAAGAAAAAATGTGTATATATATATATATATATATATATATATATATATATATAAATTTTTATTGCATACTGAAACGTCACTAATAACATCATATTACAATAGGGACAGTTGCTATGAAATGCCACTATTGACATCATAACTTTGGGTTAGGGGTCGTATTTATGTGTGAAAAATATTTGTAACAACAAAAATAAATTAAAATTGTTTGATGATTTTTCCTTTTTTTTTACTAAAAATATCAAAAATCAAAAAGTCTGCAGAATATATTAGTATTGCACAGATCTAAAACTGCAATGAATTTAAATATAACATTATCAGTGACACTTCATGGTAACCTAACAATTTTAGTAGAAAGATTTGAACATAAATTTTTATTGTTTATTTTAAAACTTGGCTCTTCTGCCAAGAATGGTAAGAAAACTCACAATGAAAATCTTTAAATAAATTATTTCAAAACCAATAAATGTTTTTCAAAATTTTAAATTTATATTTCTCCAAACATAGCCTGATTGAGAAAATAGAGATGAACTTTTGACAATTTTGTTTACAAAAAAAAGAACTTAAACACATACTTCTTTCACCAGTATAAGCAGTTTGTAAAGGACTTAAGGGGCCATCACCAACAGAATTACGTGCTTGTAACTGAAACTCATAGAGTTTATAAAATGTATCCTGGCTAGATAGAACTATCTTGATAAATGTTTGACCTTTAGGAACATTTTCTTTAATCATTTCATAAGAACTATGCACCTCTTTGTAATAAACAACATAATTAATACCAGGAGCATTTTGATCAATTTCTTCTAAAGGCTAAAAAAAAAAAAACAATTAAAAAAAAAATCTGTTGCAGATAAACCATCTGATTCTAAGCTAAAAACATGATTTATTTGCTTAAGGATTGATTATTATGACCACTTAATACAATAATGTTAAATATAACATTATTTTGATAGATAATATACTGAATATTAACAGAAATAAAAATAATATTACTTGCAGTCATTATCGAAAGTCAATATATTCAAATGTTGAGTACTAGTGATTACCGGAGAAAAGCCATGATCATGGCTCTGCTCAACATGCTGTATTATGTATTAAAATGTAAACTTTAAAAATATTTTTTCTGAATACTAAAACATTAAAAACTCACTTGAAATGTTATCTTCAGTTCATTGGGTGCAGTGCCTTTTCCAACAACATTTAATGGAAACTTTGTTGGTTTAGCTATTGGCGTTTTTATCCATTTAATAGTTTCAGCACTTGGTTCTCCAAGTCCATACATATTTTCAGCAATTACTCTTATTTTATAATCTACCCAAGGTGACAATTCTACAGATTCATTGTCTCTTTCTTTATCAGTTTTATTTGATACTTTTACTGTAAACCATTTTTCAGGTTCAAACATTGTCCTTGCTTGAATATGCATTTTTACTATCGGTGATCCATTATCTCTTCCTTTTGACCAAAATATTTGGACTGAAGTACCACTTGACTCTGTAGCACTAACAAACAGAGGTTTCCCTGGTGGACCTGAAAACAAAATTTTTTAGTAGAAATAAAATAAAAATAATTAAAACTAATAACTTTGATGATAAGTGGTAGAAATTAAATGAATTTAAGGTCTATCAATATTTTTGTTTTTTGATGCTAATTCTTCACAAATTATTATAGTTCAGTTTTATCATAAAATACCAATTATAAAAATAACATTTTTTGACAAAAACTATTGCTTTTTAATAAAATAACTTCAATTTAAATCAGTTTTTGTAATTACTAAATAGGGTAACAGGGGGCATTAGGCCACATTTCCTCAGTTCATTTAATAAAATGTATAATGTTATTGCATTGAGAGAGGGGGTATTAGGCTCTACATGATGAGACTAACTAACTAATCAGGGAACTTTTCATTACTAGTCTTGGAATTCTAACCAATTGCATTGATGTTTAATTAACATTTATAGATAAGTAGTTTTTCCATCCAGTTTTCAGTATCCTTCAAACTTGTCTAAAAACATCAGCTTAGCAAGTACTTGTTTGTTTTGACTTAAAAAACTATTTCTACATTGAAATTTTTTATTTTCCATACAAACACAATTACATATAGACTAAGTAGATACTTTATTTTAACTTTTTAATTATTTGCATAAGTAATCAATAAGTTGAAATACTGATATTTATAGGGCAAATGAGAGTAAAAACTTTAGCAAAGTAAAAAGACAGGATTAAGAGATTGTTTATAAATCTAAAACTCACTTAAATGCTGAATTTCTATTTAATATTTTGAATAGCATTTCTAAGAGAAATATGGCTGTTGATTAATGCCACAGACACCATTGTCTATTTCATCCTCAGGAAAGTCTTCTATTAGAGACTTTTTTTTCAAAGAACTGCAGCCCAGATTTGTGCAAACTTCTGGGCATGGTAGGTCAGCTAGAGTCAGGTTTCACTACAGAGAAAGCTTAACAGGTGATGAATGTTTGTAAATTTAATGAATGAAGTAAATTTAAACAAACAAAAACTAACCTTAAACCAAAAACTAAATTTGAAGATACAAATAAGTTCTGTGTTGACTATGGTTTCACCATCAACTCCAGTAAAACGCAACTTATAGTTTTCAAATCACCGAGAAAAAAACTTCCTGATAACTTACACATTAAAATTGGAAATATTGAGGTTCAACCAGTAACTCATGTGAAGCTATTAGGGGTCACTATAGATCAACATCTCCAATTCAAAGAACAAATAGATTCAACCGTTAAAAAATGTCACTCTAGTATGGGAATATTGGCAAAAGCATCTGTCAGGCTTCCAAGGGAACTTTTGAAAATTGCGTATACAGGACTTATACGAAGTCAACTAGAGTATGCCAGCATATTGTACCTTGGTCAATCCAAAGCACAACTAAAGAGACTTGACGTTATACAAAAGCAGTGTGTGCGAATTGTATGTCACAAACCTAGGAACACTCATTCAGCTTCTCTTTTGGAAGAACTAAAGCTTGACACCTTGGGGGAGCGAAGAAAGGTTCATGCAACAAAAATAGTAATGTCGGCATTGTCGGGAGTGTGTCATCCATCTTTGGCTAATATGTTTAAAATGAACGATGACTCAAACCTTATTGTCAAAAAAGCGGCGAATCGACAAGGAAGTAAAGGCTTTCATATTATAGGGGCCAACATATTCAACAAAGTTGGCTTCTAATATATCCATCTTGCTATGCCATTGGCATATGCTACTCAAGCAGTGGAAGAGGAACCGGAAACAAAAGAACAAAAACAAAACAAAACAAAACAAAACAAACAAAACAAACAAAAAAAAAAAAAACTTTTTCTGAATTTATTTTATAAATTGTAAAAGTAATCGTAATTTTAAAGGCAAAGTTGTTCAACTGTAATTGAGTTTAAATAAAAATATATAATAATAATAATAATAACCGTGTTGTGGACAGCTTTAATATTTTTTTATTTTTTTATAATTAACTTTTTTCAGTTTAACATAAATTATAATTTACAGTTTTTTCACACTGTATTCACTTATTTTGTATTTTTATTTTCTCCTAAAGTAATTTTATATATAAAGTAACTTTTCATATTTTTTGTTTCACTTGACATTTATTTATTTTATTACTCTTTTCGCTTTTACTATAGGGCTGCCATATGTCCCGGTTTTAAGATCCGTGTCCCAGTGTCCCTGTTAAAGGGTAGTTTGTCCCGCTCGATTTAAAGCTATTAGCCATATTAAAAATTAACCCCGGTAAAACATGGATTGGAAACACTTTTTACATTTTTTGTTTGTAGGTGTTTATGTATTTTTCTAATTTCTGTTGAATTTAAATTTACTTCTTAAGTTTAAGGTTTCTCTATTTTTAAAGTTTGAAAATTGAAAAAGCGAGGCATATATACACATTTCTTCTCGAGCTTTAATTGTACTATGTCATACACACGCAAGCACTCTCTCCGAACAGCCTTTCATATTTTTTCTATCTTTGTTCTCTATTTATCCTAAATCATCTAAATCATCGTCCTGGATACTTCACTGCTCTGCTGAGCTTGCAAACGCCAATAAAAACAAATTAATGTCTATTGAGGCATCAGACTTCACTGGGGGAAGAAAAAACGATTGTTGAGGTTAATAAAATCAATTGACTTTTATTTGAGCTTGAACGGTAAAGGCAAGTTTATTCATTACTAATCAGAAGAACAGATTTATTTTGGGAAGAGGAGAGTGTGTAGAGGCCGCAACTGTTATTTCACTATGGGGCTAGGATAAACTAAAGACTACCTTTTAGTTCAACTCGAAAAAAACTTAACAATTATTGTAATAATTGTTAAGCTTTTTTACACGTTATTTTTTTTTTTTTTTTTTTTTACAAACTTGGATTGCTTTTGTTAATGATTCGTTTTTGTTTATTTTTTGGACTATTTTTATGCAGTGTATCATTCAAGTAGTCATTGATGTGACCTAAGGTTATCAGATGTAGGGGTTTTGCGTAGGGAAACGCAATCAAAATCTTGATTTTAATAGATTTTGTTCTACTACATAAAAGACGAGACACCTAGTCACTATAAATGCGGTTTTTCATGTCATAACATTTAATAAGTTTTAAAAATCTTGGCAAAATTGTTATGTTTTTAAATCAAAAATATTTTGTAAATAGTTTTATTTTTATTTTAGGCATTACTTTGTTAAAAATGATATTTATGATATAAATTTTAACAAACTAATGCGTTTAACAAACTAATGCGTTTTTTAACTAACTAACACACCTCTCCACAACAGTGCTTACGTTTGAAAAAAATGTAGACGCCCAAATTAAATTTTTCTAGCAAGGTATGATTATACTAAAAAAAATTTTTCACAAAATTCGATAAGCATGTCCTGAAAAAAAAAGGTAGTTATTATGAGAGGAAAAATTTGTGTAATTTTCTCTCATTAAGACATACAGAAAAACAACCGGTTTAGAATGAACTTCATAGAAATACTTATTTGAGGCATAGATAAATAGCTAATAAACTTTTTAATAAATACCATTATTTAAAATTTTATTTCATGTTAATAAATCAAATAATCCTGTCAAAATCAATAAAAATAAGTATCTTAGTTTAAACAGTTTGTTTGCCGGTCTAGACTGAACTTAATAAAGCCTCATTTGCTCAGCGTTGTATTAAAGAACAACACGTAATAGATCTTTCTTGTATGATTCTTTGTGGAAAACACTCGGAAGTCCGGAAAATTCTCTGAATCTTGAGTGAATTTTTCTCCTGTTCGCTGTAAATTCCCAGTGCATATCCATTCTTTCTACAAAACTTCTTTACATGGCAAAATAATATCTGCAGTTTGGTACTCTTTGTTTTGATTTCTAAAGTTTTTTGTTTTTTTTTTAACATCTTTGCTTCCAACAAAGCTGCAAGTAACTACTATTAGAGTTGGAAGTTACTGGAAGAGAAAAGATAAAGATTGTAGAGCAAGATAATGATTGACAGATGACTTAAAAGATTATATAAAAAAGGAAAGTAACGTGAATTATGCAAATTATATGAATCAGGAAAGCAAGATAAAAGAAGCCAATTCCAAAGAACCGATGTTCGAGAAAAAAAAACTAGACGAATAAGAGTTTTTGGAGCATTTAGGAACAGTAACAGAAAACGGATGAGGCTTAATTGAATGACGAGTAACACAAGAATGAATTTTAGTAGATAGCATAAAAGACACTAGCTCTTTAGAGCAGTGCCCATTATAGTATTTGTAGAAAAGAGAAAGAGAAGCAACATTACAACGATATAATAATGGTTGAAGGTTGGCTGCAAGAGCAGGTCCAACTATGTTTACAATGCGCTTTTGCACCTTGTCTAAAAGAGAAAGAGCATCATAAGAAGATCCGCCCCAGATATGGCAACAGTATTCCATACAAGGCCGGATTTGAGATTCGTAAAAATAGAGAATAGAATTCGGAATAAGGAAGTTTTGAGCTCGATAAGGAGATGCAACCTTAGTAGATGCTAATTTTGTAACGGATTTGATATACGGTTTACAAGAAAGATTGGAAGTAAGAGTTAAACCTAGAAGATGAATGGTAGATGACTCATCGAGTACATTACCGTTCTTAAATATAGAAAGATCTAAATTATTGCAATAACGATTGGCTGAAAAAAAATTGAGTTTTATCTGAGTTAAAGTTCACCAGCCACTGTGACACCCATGCTGTAGCAGAAGTGAGATCCTTTTCAAGCTCAAATGTTCCCTCCAATCAATCAGAGAGTGTTGGCTTCTTATCATGACAAGAATAAATGGTAGTTATAAAAATATCAAGAAAACCATCTACCTCTTTTTCAAAATCCATACTGAGTATCTTGCAAGAACACGAGTAAGCCACAGTATCGAATGCATCAAAGGCATCACAAAACCCCCTTAGATCTTCAGAAAGAGCATTTCTAAGCTTATTTTTTAATCTCATCAATTTCTTACACTGGTTTCCTTCAAACTCTCCACCATGAATTTTTTGTCTGACAAGAGAATCGCTTTCTAGGAAGATTTGCCATTTTTTACAATAGATTGTTTCTATATAGAGATGAAGTTCGGATATATTGTATACTTCCATAACTTCAGTTTCATTATCTCCTGGCAGAAGTGGTTGGTTCTTGCAATTATAAAATTCTTTAAGTGATGAGTCAGAATTACATTTTTGTTTCCAAGTAAGACTACGATGTCTAATTGATCCTAAGGTTTGTTTATCTCCTAAAGAGAAGCTACAAAATGTCCTAAAATCAAATTAAGTAGTTTCAAATCCGCGCAAAGTGTAAATTGAATATTTCAAAAGTCAATACATTTGAAAAAGACAGCACAGTCTTCATAATTTTCCTGAATATTTGGGGCTATTCCTTAGAGTAGTGTCTGATCAACGGACATTTCTTCTTTAAGGTTTGGATAAATGCCCTCGGAAAAGTTTGATCTCTTGGTGATACTAGCATTGAAGTAACTTGCCACATCAACAGTTTCAATTCCAAGCTTGAAGAAACCTCTTTTGATAGAAAGTTGTCTGGTTCTGATATGAACGCAATATCGCTTTTGATATTGCGTTCATATCAGAACCAGACAACTTTCTATCAACCTCAATGGTCATCAAATATTTGTGACTCCATTCTAAAGTAGACTTTATTGATCCTTTTGAAATTGTAAAAGATTGTCATCCTGTTTTAAGGGATACAATTTCTGATTCTTCAAACATTGCTCTAATTTTATGTTAGCTAATTTGTCCCCTGCTTCTTGATTCAGGGAGTTTTAAATCATCTGACAAAGGTTTGTTGAACCAAAAACTTTTGTACACCTAGGATTTTGTAATGAATTGATGGATTGAAAGCACTGATTACACATAGTTATACGCATTTTTTTGGATGGTTTTTCCAGAACTCTTGGTCTATCTCCATGTTTAGTTCTTTTTGTTCCAGATTTAGCTGATTTTGCTACTTTGCAGATAATACAATCACAGAGATTTTTATTTCTGGTTAGGACGGAGAGAACTACTCCTGATGCTGCAAGTGGATGTATTTGAAGGGAACAAGGAGTAGCTCCTGAATAGGGCTTTCCATGTAGTAATAATACTATGTTGCAGGTGTTGCATATTCCAGTTTCAAAAGATAAATTATCATTATTATAGTTTGGTAAAACCAATATTTTCATAAGTATCAAAGCTGCTACTGAAAGTATTCTGTCTGCTTTTCTTTTATACAGCAGCATTTATGGCAAGCATCAAAGTGTGTTGCTGAAAAATTAAGCATTTTATGTCACACTTTATATTTTTTATTTAACTTATAGCTAGATTAATAAGCATACTTATATAATACATTTATATTACATTTAGTTATATTGTATACAATATATTATGAAACACACAAGTATAAGTTTACATATATTGTGTAATACACAAATTATAATATAAACATTATTATATAATATAACATTATAAAATCTATTTATATTGTGTAATATGGTTAAATTATATAATATAATTAAATAATATATAATAATTAAGTTATATAATATAATTAAATTAAATTATATATATTGTTATATAATAAAGTACTAAGAGTTAAAATAACAATGGACCAAAAAAATAACTTTATGTTAATTTTTATATCTATTGTAGTTAATTTTATAAATTGATAATTTATTCATAATTTAATAATATTTTTTAAAAAGCTTCTAGTTCTTACCGTTATTTATTTTATTTTACAGGTAGCTATTAAAATTAAAAAAAAAAACAGAATTGTAATTGAACTAAATATATAATTTTTAATTTTTTTTTTTAATTTAAAAATTGTTAAACTAAAAAAAAAACCACTGTTATTTGATAGGACATGCTTTTCAAATTTTGTGAAATACTTTTTACTGTACACTATAATCATACCTTGCTAAAAAAATTTAATTTGGGCGTGTACACCTTTTTCAAACATAAACACTGTTGTGGGGAGGTGTGCTAACGTGTTTATGACACTTAGAATTAACCACGTTAACTTTTGGAGCTATTTTGAGCACGTGCTACCGTGTTTTACGTACTGAAATTCTGTTATCACTGGTAAAACGCATTCAAGTTACAAAGTAGACTAAATTTTACATTACATAAGCTATGAGTTGCTTTTCGTACATTTTCATTTGATAAGCCATCAGTGGGCCAATAATTTTGTTCACTTGACATCAAACTTATTATATTGAAAAAAAATTCTGAAATAATTGTAAGCATTGGTTACGGTGGTTACGTTAAGCTATAATGTAAGGAAAATTTAACTAGATTATTTTTAAACTTTAAACCAATAAAACTTTAGCTAAAAACATATTAAAATAACGGAGAAAAAAATTGTAAATGGTTTTTTACAATGCTTGGTTTAATAGCCACACGTGTTTGATGGCAAAAGGTTTTGTGTTTGCAATACAAAAAAAAAGTCGCAATTGATCATTTTATTTGTTTAACCCTCAATATGTACATATTGAGGACTAAGACATATTGAGACTATATGTACATATTGCATGATCAAGTAAGTACGATACATATGTATTGTAATTACTGAATTCCATATGTATTACAAAATTTGAGTTTCATGATTTTTTGACCAAATAAATATATATACGGAGAGAAAAAACTCATCTTGTCATCAGTCATCTTGTTACGGTCACTAGCATATCATTTGTTTTTAACTGGTGTAAATTACAGATTTTAGATATTTGAGAAAATTTGACTTTGTTTTGCTTTGATTCAATCATTTTATAGCCCTCTGCAGATGATTTATCGTATCTTTTTAAAATTATTTTTAACGGAACAATACATTTTTGTATTTAAATAATATATAACTTAATTTAATTTTGTGTTTTATTTAATTTATAGCTTTTCATTGATGATCTTTAATAATGCAATAATGCGGCTTCTTTTTTTTTTTTTGCAGTCTGTCAACTTTGATCCATTAAACTTTGAGTATCAAACAGAGATTTTAAATCAATCTTTATGTACAAGTTTTAAACCTGTTAATGTAAGCTAACAAATATTCTGCTTTTGCATCTCTTTTATCGGTTCGACAATGAAGAACTATTTGTTTTACGTATTTATGATAATTGTATTAAAAAAAACTATTTTTAACTAAAAATCCGTTTTATATACGTTTAGTAATAGATACTGAATGTTTATATGAAATCTTTTTAGTTAAACATGGTGTGATGGCATTTGGACGTAAACAGCTTGCGTTAGAAAAAAAATTTCAATTTGTTTTTCCGCGAAACTAATATGTTTTGTTATTATAAGCTTTTTTATTTGTTTCTTTTTCTTTCTATTCAAACATTGAGTAGAAGATTCTTAAGTACATTAGAAGACAATTTTCAGTTATTCATCACAATCAATTAAAAACCAAATATTATATATAATAAGAGAGTTAAAACAAACAAAAAAAAAGTATTATAAGGAGGATTTCTAAATACTGTTTATATACCAAGAATCGCAAAAAAAAAAATCCAAAATCTTTATTTAATATACCAACATTTAAGATAATTTAGTATATATTTGTATGTTTTATATTTATTTAGTTTATATTTATATGTATTAAAGATATTATAGATATGCTTTTATGTTTAAGTATGTATATGCTTTTATGTTTAAGTATGTATAAAGCAAAAAATAATTTTATTACATGATAGAAGGAACACAATACAATCAGGTATGCTGTCTAATTTAAGAAAAAATGATGATTAAGATTTAAGAAGAGAATTAAGAATATAACTTAGAGAATTAAAAATATAACTTATGTTAAGTAATGTTTATTTTGTCAATAATTGTTATAAATAAATTTAATACTATTTATATTTATAATGATCACTTGTTGATAACACTTGTCAACTTGATAAAATATTATGTTATATTTTATTTATATATTGATACACAATCAAATGACAAAAATCTGCCTAGAGATTTTAAAATGCCCCCCCCCCCCCATTCTTCCCAGACTACATCTCGTGTTATAAAAAAAAAAGTTATATTTTATTGCTTTTGACACTAATATGGCATTCTTTTGTGAGACATATAATTAAACAATTCCTACCAAACTTGCTTCTAGCTGGCTTGTCGGTTGATACAACGTCAGGATGTCCTTCTTTATCGGTTACTTCGTGACCATTAGGGCCTATGTTAGGAGAATTTGAATCATGATCAACTTTATTCTCTCAGTTAATAAATTACTTGTTTTATGTATAAAAAAACGCGCGTTTTTAACGAATCGTTAAGCTCTGTATCAATTGTTCGCTGCATTAGCTCCCTTTTAGCCAGATTCGAATAAAAATTAGATCAGACATTCTTGCGTGAAATAATCAGAGAAACTACTTAGCAAAATGAGATTTGACAAGATTGGGATGTCTAGCTTTATTTTGTTTTCGCGAATAATTAGACGCACAAAAAGTCAATTTGAAAAACGAAACCCAAACAAGTAAAGATAAACTTAATTAACGAGAATTGGCAAACAACATAAAGTGAGTAATAATGTCCTTTCAAGTGGGCGTGCAAACTAGTGAGAATTGTTTCACGCAATAAAAGTTAGATAAACATTTTTTAATGTGTAATACAAAAATGTTTATAAATTAAAAAAAAAAAATAAAGCTAAAAACTTTTTTGTTAAAGTAAGAAAACAAAATGATCATGTAAATTCTCCCAACAGGAATTGTTTAATTGCATCATGTCAAACGAGGCGTTACTTTAAAAACTAATTTATAAATTAGTGTGACGTTAACAATGTAAAAGTAACAAAAGGATGCCTGAATGAGGCTAAAAGGGATGTATGCTTATATGCAACAAATAATGACACTATTATAAAACAATAATAAACAAAATAGTAAAAAAAAAAAAAAAAAAATAATTTATTAAAAATATTCAATCCACTTTTAAATATGTTAATAGCAAAAACATGCATGCTATAAATGCTGCAATTCGTCTCAACTATGAATGACCACGAAGATACAATATTTATATATAAATTTAGATAAACTCATTTACTAGACTACTACTAGAAACTAGAAAACGGAAAAAAAAAAACATTTCTTCAGGGAAAAGGCGTTTTACTGAAAGACTAATAAGAAGCTTAAAGTTGAAACACAAAAAAAAAATTTCCATTAGGGTATTATATTTTTCTTGTAAATTAGAAAAGTGAGTCATGTGAAATAACTTGAAATAACCATTCTGGGAATCATAAAAAAAATCATTTTTTACGAGCAACTTCTTACCCTTTTTCTAAATACACATAAAAGTATATTAATAATTCTCTTCATTTTTATTTAAAACTTTTGAATTATACATTATACCTTTTGAATTTATACCAAATTAAATCAGTCAACTTATACAATTTAGTGATTTTTTTCTATTCGGTTTTCTTGCACTCAGGCACCTGATAGTTTTGCTATTAACTTGCAGTAAAAGTGGAATGAACTTGTATTTCTTTCTCGAATCGGTTTTGTTGTAATAAATTTTTTTAATAATTTTTAATTAAATATTTATAAATATATAAATATATCAGAATCAACCTTTAGTACCGATTTGTAAATTTTTTAACTTGAATAAAGTTATACAAAGCACAAAATACATAAAATAAAGAAGAGTAAAACCAGGTCAAACCGCACAAAGAAAAATCATTAAAGTAAAAAAAAAACACAACAACTTTATTTTAATTTTAGAAAAGCATTATAAGTTGTACATATTCTGATAAAATTTTGTTAAAAATAACTTTCATTGGCTAATGTAATACGTTTGATTGAAGATGCTATCCAAGAAACTGTTACAAAAATAGAAGTTATTATCCAAGAAGTTATTATAAAAAATAATACAGGGAAAACGAAAATAATTTTAAATTTAATAAAAGAAAAAAATATTTCTATTCTGGCTGTTTTGTTCTTCGGGGTCTTGCTGGTTTTTCAAGTAAAGCAAAACAATTTTTTTTTAATTTGTAATAAAAAATATAACTTTTCATATTTTATATTGCAAACTTAGCATTTTAAATATAATATTAAAAAGATATACGCGTAATAAAATATAGACAATATAAAAATATATTTTGATCTTAATTGCATAACTATTATGGTAATTGTATTGCCATTATGTTAATGGGTTAAAGATCTAAGTATATATTTATATTGTCTTTTTAACAAGAAAGTAAGTTTGGTTTAAAATGTGTATGAAATGGGGAGGATAACATTTCATTCACCCCATACGGAAAGAGCTACGATAGTACGTAAGAGGTTAGATTTTATTAAATAGTATTTTCCAAACTTAGGTGTATAATATGTGTAATTTATTGTATTATTAAAAATGTGTTGTGTTTAAGAATAAAAGACATACTTTGCCGAAATATTTATAGAAACAAAAAGTTTTTTGGTGACAAATCCGTCTTGACTCAATGCCAATGTTAGATCAATTTGTCCCAGTGAAATGGGTAAGTTCCTGAAATTCAATACAGTGAAGTCAAACAGATATTATTAGAATGAGCCATTAAATTCAATTCAAATGATGCCTTTTAAAGCAATATTTAGTTATTAATGTATGAAATAACATATCTAAATAGTGTGTGCTCCCTACTCTTCCCGTTTCTCCTACACACTAAATATTTTTAGATATTTAGATCTGGAGTTATGGGTCTATGTATATATTTATGATTCCAAAAAGATTTATGTCTTTTCAACCTAACAATAACATCAACAAAGTTTAATGAGTAATAAAAATAACTTTAAATTAAAAAAAAAGTTGTTTACTTTTATAGTTCAGTTAACTGATCTGGTTTTACTCTAAAATTGTATAAATAAGTTGTATTAGCACAAATGAAATAAGGCTTTTTAAAATACTTAAATAAACTACTTACCCGTTACAATTATAAAAATTTTTCGTTCAACTGATTTATTGGCCCATTGTGCTTTACATGTGTAATAACCAGCATCTTTTGACGTTGAATTCAAAATTGTAAGAGTGGAGCTTGTTTTTTCACGAATAATGTTAGTTCTAGGAGTAATTGAGTTTAACTTATGTTGGCTTCTATACCATGTAAATATTACTTCAATATCCTGGACGCAAGATGTTACACATTTTAGAAGGATAGTATCACCAACAATAACAGCATCACTTACAGCTAACGGTTCGGTTATAGCAATTCCATCTACAAAAAAAAACTTTTAAATTTAAAAAAAAAGATAACTAAAACAGTAAAAGTTTTTTTTTTTGGTGTTTGTGAACGGATTTTAAATATTTGTAACATGAATTATTAGTTTGTTCACATGTTCATCGGCAATTCTAGGAATAAAATGAGAAGGGGAAAGGGCCTTTAAAATATATAAAATGCTGACTTGCAACTATATTCCATAAAAAAACAGACTATATGTTGAAAATAGCCAGCAATGAGGGATGTCACACCTTCACACCACCCCCCACACACCCACTTAAAATTCCCCCTACTTGTGTTTCTTGGTAAACTGATAGCTGAACTTTTTTTGTCTTTTGAACTTGTTCATTTTGTCATTAATGGGTAAGCTTCTCAGTAAAAAAATTTCAAAAAAATTATTATAAAATTAGGTTAACATACTGACTATGAAAATAAATCAGAATGCATAATATCAACAAGTATATTGACTTGTTTTTGTTTTGATTTTTTTACTCTTGGACTTGTGGTTAAAAAAGCATACTGTACCTCCTGTAATTTATTTTTACGCCATTTAATAATAAAATGGTTGCTGTACATTTTTATTATTATTGAAAGTTCGTGGTATTTTATTATGTTGATATTATCAACGTTCAAATGTTCAAAAATACCGCAAACGCTGAATACAATTCAATTACACAACTCCTTTTTTACTTCTATAAATGCAATTTCTTAAATAACTGTCAGCTACTTAGTGACAGTTAGCTACTTAGTAACTGAGATCAATATAAATTAAAGCAAATTGATTAATTTATAATATTGTAAACGTAACTGCATAAAAACTTAAACAAAAAAGTACTTAAACAAAAAAGTTTCAATGTGTTGGTATTTCTAATTTTTAAAAATTAGAAATACCAACACATTTCATAATTTTAGTAATTTATTGATGATATAGGTTATAAAAACTTATTTATTTAATTATAAGTCAAGTAGATAAAACTACTTGACTTATTTATTATTTTAGAAAAACTTTAAAAACAGTTAACTGTGCTCCTGGTCCCAGGTCCAAGATCGAGGTCCAAGATCCAAGTCCAAGATCGAGATGTTTTTGTTGTTTAAGAATGAAAGATTACTTTCAAACATAAAATACTTAAGTTTATGCTAATATCAAATAAGTAGACTTTTTAAAAATTGCGGTCATAAGAGCTGTGAAACAAAAATACGCTAAAACCTATTTCTTAATTTCCCCACTTTTATCCTAAATATAAGAATAGTGAGTCAAAAAAAAAATATTTTCCCAAATATACTCATGATATTTAGTATACATTCTTATATTTTAAGTTTCGTCTAATGATCAATGTTTTAAATTTTATTTAAAAATCAGTTTTTGAAATGTTATACTCGAGTAAAATTTTGAATCCCAACTAAAACAAGGGGTTTGTAAACCCTCGTTGTATCATCATCTTTATAATTTCATTGGTTTGTATGTGGCTTTGCTGGCCTGATTTTGCTCGTCTCCTAAAATCTATAAGCATAGATATTTTCTATGCTTATGCAGAAAAAGTTGTTGTATTGTCAGTCACAATATGGGTTTCACTTAACTTTATAGATTATAAAGTTAAGTGAAATCCATATTGTGACTGACAATATAACAACTTTCCCAGCCGCCATTTAGTTTGAACGTTCAAAAACGGCAAGTACGTTTAAAAATGTTTAAAAGACGTTGTTTAAGGACCAAATGCAGACTGGGTAAGTCTTCAGGGAGTAATTACTTTACCGCTCACTCCTTCAAGCATACGCAGCTGAGAAAAGCTCTGTTTAAGATAACCAACTAAATTCTTCCATAGTATTTTGTAAAGCTGGTTCTAACTTCATCTCGGATGTGGATTTAGATAGGGAATAGGAATTTTTCAGATTCAGAATATTTGTATAAAATGTTTTATTAGCGGTCAAACAATAAGTTGTGAGGATTAATGAGAATTTTAAAAAATTTGACATTGTTTATTGGAATTTAGCACTAGCATGTAATTTTCTTTTTTACAGGTATTAAACTGTTAAAAATATAAACGATATAAATTAAATAGACAAAATATTTTCTGAAACTACAACCGTCACCTTTTATTTCGTAAACAACTAAAATGTACTTTGTAATTTTACTATGACGCACAAATATTTACCTATATATGCAGAGTGCGCTGCACGGTATGGAATAGTTCCGCATATGTTAAAAACATTAATAAAACTTAATTTATACAATTACATATCTCAATTATTACATATCTAAATAGCTTTAAACTTTTTTTTTATTTAAATAACGTCTTAAGTTTGCTGCGGAACCCTGAGAAGATTTTGAAATTTCAAATCAATTATTCAACTCAATATAATTCTAAGTGATTCATTTTTTAAAAGAAACACCATCTATAAAATTATTGCATCTACTTAAATAAAATTTATTTTTCCTTAGCTAAACATCTACATTTCACTATAACATTTGATGTGCTCTCTATCCAACGTTCAGTTTCTAATGGTTTTTACAAACAGTAGCACTGTTTCCCTAACTATCCTTCATTGTCATTAGTTATAACTCTGTTTCTTTCTTTTTTTTTATTAATTTTTCATTCGTTTGAATCTTTTATTGAATTTGAACATGGCAACATGAAATGTAAAAGTCATTGTGGAAAAATTGACAGCTTTCCGTCAATTTTTTTACAACGATCTTCATTGCATTTAATGCGTCAATACTAAATCCTATTTATTTATACATTTTAAAAATATTTTCGCTAAAAATAAAAGATATAAAAATTAATGTTATAGTATTAATAAAATAGCTCAATAGAAACGTTGAAGAAAAGATGTGCATAACAGGGTTACCTGTTACTTCTAAAACTCCGCTTCGTGTTGCTGAACCTAATCTATTTTTAGCTGTGCATTCGTATATACCACTATCAGAAAGCTGAATATTGTTTATTTTTAGTGTTCCTGTTGGTAATATTGTATATTTATCGCTTTTTTTCGAAATTTCTGTAGTATCATTAATTTTTTTCCAAGTTATTGTGGGTTTTGGGGCTCCAGTAGGTATACAAAATATTTGTGCAAAACTGCCAACAACTGCATGAGTAGTTTCTGCAGGGCTTGTACTTAATGGCCCAAACGCAGCAGGTGTTTCTATAAAGCGTTTAAAAAAAGTATTTTTTAAAGGTTTTAAATATTAAATTTTTTTTATCAGAAATTAAGCTAAAACAGTAATTAATAAATATTTATACAATAAATAAGTAAATTGTTATTAAATCTCTACCTAACACTGAAAAGCGTATTGTCATCATAGCTTCACCGTGTCTGTTAGATGCAATGCATTGATAATACCCTGAAGATTTTGAGCTTTTCACAGTTATTGTTAATGTACCTGTGGTTGATACCCCATCACTAGGTTCTAGTAACTGTCCATTTAAATACCAGCGGTACGTAACAGCAGGGACACCCGTAGCTATACAGTGAAAAGATATAGTTGTATCTTGTGCAGAAAACTTATTTTCATCAGGTGTTGTCATTTCGGGAGAAGCTAAATATAATATTTTTTTAAAACCATGTATATGCATATATATATATATATATATATATATATATATATATATATATATATATATATATATATATATATATATATATATATATATATATATATATATATATATATATATATATATATATATATATATATATATATATATATATATATATATATATATATATATATATATTATATATATATATATATATATATATATATATATATATATATATATATATACATTTGTATATATATATATACATATATATATATATATATATATATATATATATATATATATATATATATATATATATATATATACTATATATATATATATATATATATATATATATATATATATATATATATATATATATATATATATATCAGGGGCGGATACAGGATTTTTTGAAGTTTGAAATAACTAACTTCCAGACATGGAAAGAACTCGAAACTTTTATATGTTTATAGTTATATCAAATATGGATACTTTGCAAAAAATTGAGATGATAGGAGCCTGGGAACAAAAAAGCCCCAAAATTTTTGCTACACCTGCCCTACACGTGAGAGCAACAAGTTGATAAAATAAGTTTTTTACTTTTCTCAACTAAATCTATATTCATCGAGAAATTTTTAATTTTGTAAAACAATCTTTTAGCGTTCAATAATAATGGTCTTATAAAATTTGTAACCCCCTCAAATTGAGGGGGATTCAAACTTTATGTGGCTATAACTTTTGAACGTTAAGAGATTATTGTATGAATTTTAAAATTTCTTGATGAATATAGATTTAGTTAAGAATAGTAAAAAAATGATTTTATCAATTTGTTGCTCTCACGTTTGGGGCAGGTGTAGCAAAAATTTTGGGGCTTTTTTGTTCCCAGGCTCCTATCATCTCAATTTTATGCAAAGTAGCTTTATTTGATATAACTATAAACATATAAAAGTTTTGAGTTCGCTCCATGTGTGGAAGTTAGTTATCTCAAACTTCAAAAAATCCTCCATCCGCCCCTGTATATATATATATATATATATATATATATATATATATATATATATATATATATATATATATATATATATATATATATATATATATATATATATATATACATATATATATATATATATATATATATATATATATATATATATATATATATACATATATATATATATATATATATATATATATATATATATATATATATATATATATATATATATATATATATATATATATATATATATATATATATATATATATACATATATATATATATATATATATATATATATATATATATATATATATATATATATATATATATATATATATATATATATATAGTTTGACATCCAACAACTCGTAAACAGATGGAAATTAACGGCAAAAGAAAAAAGAAAAAGGAAAAGATTGCGAAACAACTTTTACCTTCTAGTTCTAAAAAGGCTGTTTTGGAATTTATTTGACCTAAAGCATTGGAAACTTCGCAAGAGTATTCGCCTCTATGATTTATATTAAAGCTACCAAATTCATAACGCAGCCTATTACCAACTTGGTAAGATCCTTTTAGTATTGCATTAGTATCAACACGACGGAATTGCATTGTTGGAACGGGTCTAAAATTAAAAGAAACTTTTTTGCTACAATTTGTAATAAGAAAGAAGTCTTATAAAAATATAAATAAAATAAGTTAAGTGCATAAAATATGTATTGTAAATTGCATATAAAGTATACTTTATATAAGAATTGCATCAAAAAACAACAACTTTTAAAAATTCCTCGTGACGCATAAGTTGTCGGACTAAAAACTTTAACATAAGGTGACGCATAAGTTATCGGACTAAAAACTTTAATAAAATAGTAAAAAATAAAGAAAAGTTTATTAAGTTTTTTGCTAAATCAAGGTATTTAATTGTGAATAAAAGTTATTTATTTATTGTCTCCATCATCTGTTATCTCCATCTTCTGATCTTAATGATCTGCAATTGATCTCAATTTTGCTTTGACACTTTTCATAAGCAACTTTAATAAATTTTAAACATTTACTTTTAATTGTAGTTTGATTCGATCAATCAAGACTTTCTATCGTGAGGCTTGCCAACCTACTTCGTAAACTTTTTTTTGGAAATTTCTCTTTTCCCACAAAGCGAACACTATCTGCGCATGTTTCTTTGATGTCTGTGTAAAAGTGAAATCGTAAATCATTTCAAAAAAGAAGGAATAGTATTTTGAATTTCCAGTCATGTTAACACATGCGAAACAAAAGTATTTACCATCGACGACCAGAAGTGATTTCGTGTTATAAAACTGATAAGCAAGTTTTCAGCTTCTTCTGTTTTTTGCTTTTATTTTTTGTTTAATCGTGTATTTGAAAGTCTTCTTACGTTTTCTTCATTGAATACTAATTTTTTTCTAATTGACCACCAATTATCGATTAACTCACACCGAATTTAATATCCAATTTTCTCCGACTGACCTTCTTTCGGTTTTTTACAAGTCTCTTTAGTTTGGCTTGCTCAGGGTGACGGATGACCAGAATGCTTTTTATCAGAATATGAATGAGCAGTTATGAGTCTTTTTAAGTTGTCATAGATTTTATTTTGTACTATTCCTTCTTTTTTGAAATGATTTACGATTTCACTTTTTTATGATATGACTTTTTACAAAAAAAAAATTCGAATTTGCATTTAATCTCATTTGAAAACATTTATTTTAGATAATAAAATAAACATTTCATAGTTTTTTAATGCATACACATCAAACCACGTGATTATTTTACTGGCGAGAAAAACTAAATTAAAATTTGTCCAATAACTTATGCATTACCAGTTAATGGCTCCAGAAGAGTTCTTTATAATAAAACAACGCTAGATTTGAAATATTTTTGAATAAAAAAATATTGTTAGAGGTTTCTAATTTACTAAGGTTTTTAAACGACATGTTTTGTTAAATATATAAATATACAATCAATCGCCCCCACCTCCTAAGACCTTTTAACATCTAACAATATATATATATATATATATATATATATATATATATATATATATATATATATATATATATATATATATATATATATATATATATATATATATATATATATATATATACTACATAGAGGCACCTTGTAAACGTTTAAGGGTCTTGGCGAACCTCGAAAAATATTATTTTTTTGAAAAAAAGTTTTTGTGTTACTTTATTATATGAAAAATATTTTGAGCTATGAAGAGGCAATTTTTAAAAAATTGTTGCTTGCAATATACCCTACTGCATATACAATAAGTATAAAGTCTTGCCTTCCGAATGCAATGCACTCCATCATAAAATTTGAATTTTTCATTGCAGTTTGATCATTAAAAACCCAAACTTCGGGCGGTACAATATCTTGCGTTTCTTCTGAAAAGCAAATTGTTTCACAATTTAAATATACAACAATTAATTTAATTTAGTTCATAGTGGCATAAATTATTAAAAAAGCACTATTAATAAAACTTACTTTGGCTGACTTTAAGATCAACAGTCCTTTTTAAGACTCTTCTCAATTTATTATTTTCAACACTGCAATAATAAATACCGTAATCTTCTTTTGTAGTATATGAAAAATACAAATCGCCTGCTTCACTAACACTGTAATAAGAGTTCATATCTAATTGCAAAGGAAAATAGTTTCCTGATGAATGCCGTTTTGCCCAATAAATATTTCTATCTGGGTAAGAGTCAGGGGCATTACAAAAAAGCACTTTTTTATCACCTGCTGTCACTCTCGAGTTACTGTCTTCAGCTGAAAACTCGTTTAAATCTAAATGAAATAATTTTTAAATGGTAATAATAATAATAATAACACACGTAAACACAAAGTTATAAAAGTGTTAGGGTCTTAAAAGTATAGGATGTTATTTAGTTCGTTATGCTAGTTAAATTTATTAACTAAAAAACACTTTTTAATAGTTCTGAGATTTTTTATATTCATTTCAGCAAAGGTATAAATTTTTAGTTTTTATATCTTGTTGCAGAAATCATGCGTGCTCGAATGCCATGTCGTTGTTTTGTTTATTGAACAAGGATTCTATTATAAATAGGTTCTGTATAAACAAATTAAATATAGAACTGTTTTCTAGTTTTTTTTCTTATTCAACAGAAATGTTTTAAAAATTAATCAAATTTTAAATCTGGTACTTACATGGAAAAGTTACGAATGCTGATTTACTTAATAGCCCTCCGTACCGATTGGACACAAGACACCGATACTTTCCTTGATCTTTACTACGCAATGCATTAAAAATTGTCAATGAACCGTCTTCTGATACCAGTGTCCGATTATTATTGTTATTTATAACTAGATCGTCTTTATACCAAGAATATATTAAGGGTTGATCTCCAAATGCTTTACAAGTAAGTTTATAATTCAGCGTTTCCACCAGTCCGTTTTCAGGTTCTTGGATAAAACCCAAGTAGGGATCATTAGATTCTATCAATAAATAAATAAAAATTAAAATCTGCAATTATATTGCATACTAAGTTACATCAATAGTAAACACTAAGCTTCTCAATGAGATCAATCCATTCCGACGATTAGCTTTTAACGTTAAATACCTTTAATCATTCAATGACATTAATTTAAGCTAAAAGTCATTCTGTCCTTTATAAAAATTTGCTGTTTTTGTTATTGTTTTTTTTAAAAAGCCGATGTTATATCTTTGAATGTAAACCATTTGCCGATCCATTTTGCAGTTTGCTTAGATACTACATCAATACTTTAGCGTTTTTATATTCTTAACGTTCGTTTAGTAAAATTGTATGCGACAAATGTCGTCAACACGTTAAAGAAAAAATATAAATTTGCAACCTATGAATCTAATTTACTAAAAGCTATCAAAGCTAATAGTACACATATAAATTATTATAAATATATAAATTATTATAAAATAAATTTAAAAGAATATACCTAAAAATATCGGTGGTATCCTAGTTAAAGTACTTAAAACTATCAGGTAGCACTTCAAGATCCATGTCATCCTCTTACATTACAGTGTCTGATTCTTGAACTAAATAAATAGAATTTGTTACATACAAATATATATATATATATATATATATATATATATATATATATATATATATATATATATATATATATATATATATATATATATATATATATATATATATATAAACATAAACATTATATATTGCATATATTTATTAACATGTAAATATATTATTTGTTAAAAATGCCTGCCAATGAGGCACACAACTCAATAATGGTAACACTAACAATAATTCTGGTAATAGATAAGAAAACTTTCGACTTTTATTTGAATTTTAAAAATATTTGTTAAACTTAATTTGTTTCAAATGCAAACTTTATTGTTTGTTTTATCAAACTCGAAAGAAAAATAAACTGTTTATACAAAATACGAATACAAAAATATTGGTGCTAAGTTCGAACTAGGTTTAACAAATTTAAGCAAAAATATGTGTCCATTATTAGTGTCTATTAATAAGGAAATCATCTATAATTGATTGATAAAAGTTCCTAAAAAAGATTGTAAAAATATCTAAATTCCAACAAGAATCTAACGAAAGCCATATAATTTTAAAATAAAGAAGAATTAATTAAAAAAAATTAGATTATTACAGCGTTTTTAAATTATTCGTTGACGCGAAATCTTTTATTTCCTTTATCAACTTGTTAAATCTCAACCAAACTTGTTAAAACTATCTTAACCAAAAATCCACTCTTTTTTATAAAAGAACTTTCAAGTGCAGTTTGTTAAAAAATCCAACGAAGTCTAAATTTATCTTTCTGCTTTAAAAATTCTTCACCGTTAAAATATTGTTATTAATATATAATTTTAAAAAACTCAAAATATAATTCGCGTAGCTCTGATAAATGGTAAGGTTAAAACTAATTTCCTGCCCACAAGTAAATGTCATTAGAATGCATACGTTAAGTTTCAGCGATTTCCTTTAAGATTTATTTTCAGAGTCTCCTCGTGTTAAAGTCTTGCCATGTGAAGTGTCTTGGATAAATTTTAAACAAAAAAAACTTTATTGCCTCTTAGAAAAGGCATTTAGCATGCAAGAAATTCCTCTGAGGTGAAGAGTTGATTAAAATGGAATTAACAATTCGCGTAATACGTAAACTATAATATCTCTTCAATTGAAATTTAGTAAAAAGACAGACTGCTGCTGCAAACAACCGATTTATGATTCCAGCTAACAATTCAGGATTTTAGACTTAAAACAGCGTTTTAATATATTTTATTAACACATACATACATACACAAGTATAAATATATATATATATATATATATATATATATATATATATATATATATATATATATATATATATATATATATATATATATATATATATATATATATATATATATATATATATATATATATATATAAATTATTTTTAAAAAACACTTTAAATATTTTCTACTGCTAACTTATGCTTTTTTGCTTACTTCTTCAAGATCTTCAATTTGGTTTAATTAATAGCATTTTTTTATTTTTTTGTTGCGATTTTTATTTTATTTATTTATTACTTATGCAAACCAATTTAGCTTACTTTAGCCATTGGATAAGATTAACTGCTATGCGAATAAAATTAAAAAAAATAAAAAACCAATTTAAACAAAGTAGTAAAATGAAAAAAGAAACTGTAATTCAAAATTAAAAGTAATAATAATAAAAATGCTTGATAACGAATTATTAAAAATTTAAAAGTAATAAGTAAAAGATATTCAAATTTTAAAAACCCTTCACAGCTTTAGAAAATATAAGCATTTTAATATTGATAAATATTTAAGTAAAAATATTATTCCACAAACATATACAACGAAATTTATAACCGGTATATCTATAATCTAAGTTAAGCTATGTTAAAGTAAAATTTAAAAAAATCCCAGCGCAGCGCTATAATTGCACGATAAATAACGTGTTTTGCATAAATTATAATTAGATAAGCGAATGAAAATGAATAAATCTATCCTAATTGCGACAAACTTAAGAAATAATTAGTGAGGTAAAATTGTTTAACCAAAAAAAAATAAAACTTAATATAAAATTCTTATTTTGTTATTGTTTGTAAATATAAAATAATAAAACAAGGAATAATAAAATAAAAATTAGAAATAACATATATATATATATATATATATATATATATATATATATATATATATATATATATATATATATATATATATATATATATATATATATATATATATATATATATATATATATATATATATATATATATATATATTGAGAAATTCAAATAATTATATCTTTAAAATTATTTTTAAAATGTTGCACAAAGCTTACCTCCATAATAATGTTTTTACTATATTAAAGCAATTTTTTCTTCTTTGAAATATAAAAAAAAAAACTTTTCAACTTTTTTCACCTAGGGCAACCAAATGAGGCGTTTAAATATTTATCAATACGTGCTATTTATTCGGCTTCGTACACGAATGCGAAATTCAGCTAAAATTTCAAAAACTTTTTTTAACTTACTATTAAATCACCAATTGTTTTGGACTAGCAAAAAGTATAGATTCTATTATGCTTTTACCGCGTTTTTTTTTTTTATCGGCATTTTTTAAATTCATTCCCAGTCGTACAATACACTCTAAATTTAAACTTTAAGCGCGTGGCTCCAAATAAAAGTAAATAAAACAAAAACTATTATTCTTTAACAACAGCGATTTAGATGACCAAGTTTAATTGTGAGGAACTCATATTCTAAACTCTAGTTTTGGAAAGTATATATTATAAAAATGACAAAAATTACAATGTTCTATGGCTGACCAACGCGTTTTATTTTATCTTTTTGCAAAAACGCTTTCGAAACAATTTAAGGAAATTTTTTTTTGCCAAAAATAAATTCTATATTTAAAGTAGCAAAGATATTTTTAAAAGAAAAGAGTTTTTACGGTAACGTCTTTCAGGTTAAGAAGACCCTTAGATGCGGTAGCTTGATTTTTTTTTTTTATATAGTTAATCTATATTAGTTATCTTTTTTCTTCGATACATATATATAAATAGATCTATAAATAGATTTTGGTATAAAGATAAGTTTTGACTTAAAACATCCTTGGTTACCTCGTAAAATTTTCTCTTTTAATTTTTGTCTGCGTCTAACCCCTTTCAAATGTCATAATTCTAAATGTGAAACTTGAAGTGTGCAAACATGATATTATAATATCTTTTATCTTTACATTGAAAAGCTCAAATGATTGCTCTAAAATGTTGGAATGATACGAAAAGATCAATACTCTGCGGTATAATAAACTCATTTAGTGGTTGCAGAAACAAAAACAACCAACACATCTACTTCTTCATCTTGGCTTAATTGTTCAAGCGTCAATGGCTGAAATATTTTAGCATATATGTTTTAATCTTAGGCGGTTATTACAAAACTGATAATATAGCTCCAATTACATTATAAATATTTGTTTTACAAATGCGTTTATAGCAAAATTGCGTTTATATGTAACAATTAAGAGAATTCCATGTAATATGCAAACAGCTCTCACCTTATTTTGCATATATTATTAAATTTCATTTTACATTTTTTGATTCTCTATTATTTATAGATTTTTATAAATATATTTGTATAAATAGAAATGGCGCCAGTAAGTACTTTTTATGAAGATTCTTGTTTATCAAGCAAATCATTTAACGGTTTTTATGATTTTAAATCCAACTATGTCTATTTTGTTGCCTAAATAATTTGCATAATTGCTACAGTCTATGCATAATTGCTACAGTTCATGCATAATTGCTACAGTTTATGCATAAAGTATTTCTAATGTTTTGACAAAAACTTTTAGTAGTGTATTTCTAAAATGTGTGACGGAAACACTTTAAATATCTGTATGATTTGCATTTATTTTTCCGTTTTAACAAAAAGCAATAAACCAATAAGATTTTCTGCTTAAGCTTCATCTTCGTAAGCTTAGCGTCCTTTTGAAGCAGAAATTAATTAAAAAAGATATTCTAAGATTGTAAACTCAAAGAAAATCTTCAAAACCTTAAAGAAACATAAATCTTGTAACGTCACATTATTTACAAAATGTAAAACACAATAAAACTGTAACAGAAAAATAAAAAAAAATAACCAATTGTCGCACGAGAATTGAAAAGTCTGACTTTTTTTGACGTTTTTTAAGTTAATATTGCAAGAACGTTTAATTTTTAATTATTTTAATTATTAATTTAATTTAATTAATTGAAATTTTTAAAAATTACAATTGATACCACTTATATTATTATTAGTTATGCTGCATAGTTAAAGTAATAGTATTTATAAAATTTTAAAAGTTTTTATAATTGTAACTTTTATTTTTTTTATAATAAATATTAACTTCAATTATAAAAATTATTAAAATTCAATTATAAATATTATAAAAGTAAATATTAACTTCAATTGTTAAATTATAAATATAAAAAAAGAATTGTCGAGCTTTATGCACAAATAAATGCTATTTTTTTCATGAAAGTACCTTACATACCTGATAACAAATCATTATATGATATTAACAATTCGGCCACCAATTTTTCAAAAGTTTGTTTATAAATGCAATTTATAAACAAACTTTTGAAAAATTGTTTATAAATTAAAAAAATTATAAATATTAATTGTTAATTTTAACATTAATAGTTAAGTTATAAATATAAAAAAAATTATAGAGCTTTTAATTCTTATGCGACAAAATGACAAAACTAATAAATTAAAAAAAAAAAAAATAGCAAACTGTAATTTTATGTGCAGCTTATAAACACAGGCTTCATTGATGCTCACCCATTGGTGTATTTTTTTCTGTAAAAAAGTTTATAAAAAGTTGGAACTTTGCAAACAAGCTGGATTTTTGTAATCTTTGCACTATTATTATAGAGAACGAATGTTTGAGAAAGTCTCAGTTTAGCGACAGATTGAATAAGAGAAACAAAACCTCTTTGTGAAATAATACTATTTTTTCCAAACTCAATGTAAATACAAGAATAACCATAATACTCCAGAATGCAATGATCTATTGTTCCTTAATAATATAATCACAACATAATAACCTTAAATGCGACATTAACATATTGCAATCAGTTTTTTTTTTTTTTTTTTTTTTTTTTTTGTCGTCGTTGCTTCGTTAAATTTTTGTACTTTATATAACCTGTTGAAATTTTTATTCAAGAAATTTTTAAAAATCTGAGACAGGTTTATGGGCTAATGAGGTGCGTCTAAAAAATGTTAATTTCTTAAAACAAAACAAAAAAGATGTTTATGAATTTTACAAAAATAAATAGAAAAACTACTTGCAATTTAAAAAAAAGCGTGCATACGTATATATAATTATTATTTTAACTATTCTTTTTCATTATAAAAAAAAGTTCTCTACATAAATTTATACAAGCTTACAATATCTTATTTAACTTTGCATTATAAATATGCTCTGAACTAGCATATTTTTATAGTTGCTTACCTCTGCACAGGAGGTACAGTTTTTATATTATTAGCTTATGGAGTATATGCTTGACAAACTATTTATATGAAACGTGCTGCGAAAGAAAAGTAATTTTCTCTGCTTATATATACTTTTCTAGTCTGTGGCTAATTATTTTTTTCAACTCACTTGAAAGTACTTAGTGTTGCCAATAGTTACAAACGATAATACAGAAAATAAAACGCGTCGAATGACATGGTTTGTCAAGTTATATTTTTATGAACGGAAAGCGTTGATTACGAAATAAATAACTATGCCCTTTATCTAGTGTCTTGAAATTCAAACAGTTTTTACATAAAAATTATAAAACATAAAATATGAGCGGAGGATAACTGACAATTTTTTTAATTTTCGGAGGTTCGAATTTTAAAGACATATGTGTTACTTTAAAAAAATAAGAAACATGTACAACACTTTAAATCAAAACAAAAAAGTGTTTAGAGTAGATACCACAGCTTAAGCACGAATACGTTTATGAATTTATAAATGTTTATACACACGTTTTTAATGAAAATAATTAATCCAAGATTTTTTTAATGAAAATATCTTACCTACCTGATAACAAATCATTACATTACAAGATATTATTAATTCAGCCACCAAATTTTAACAACGTTTAACAAAATGCTGTTACTGAGCGACGATCTGTTCTATCTTTTTTGGAAGAGAAAAATAAACTGTTTTATGTGTGAACACAATTTAGGCGCTCGAACCTTTATTTTGCGTAGTAAACTAAAATACTGCAACATAATATTGACTTAAACACTTGCCGAAAGATTGAACTTTTTTGTGCTAAAACAAATAAAAAAATCGCATTGTATCATTTTTAGTGCTGTACTTGACAATGGAAAATCTAAAGCGATTTCGGTATCAAATTTTTTTATTTGCAACATGCCAACGAATATCTGGACCTTATTTTTTTGTTTGTTTGTTTTTACATTACTGCCATGCTACCTTTTTTTAGTTCCGTTGTCAATTAATATGGATGTATAGAAAACTAACTTAAATTTGTTTAGATAAGATATGTCTTCTCAATTCATAACAATAAAACGCAGTTTAATAGATCGTTATGATACAATTGTTTTATTAATTTATCAAACTAATAATAAATAGTATCTATTAGTATTACTATCAATAAATTGTCAGCTGTCTAATTACCCTGGCCGAACGTCAATTGTCAAACGTCAAAATAACCTGGCCGAAAGTCAATTGTCAAACGTCTAAATATCCGTCCAAAAATTGATTGTCAGACGTCTAAATAACCTGGCCAATAGTTGATCGTCATGTTTAAACAAACTGACTGAAATTCGATCGTCAGACGTCTAAATCACATATTAATCTAAAAGTCAAATTTAATTATTGATTTTAATTATTTAATTATAATTATTTTTATTAATTATAGTTGTTATAATTTGCTACCTGTTTAAAGAAGTTTCCTGAGTAATAAAATTATAATTGCGAAAGCTAATTAGCTTTTAATTAGTATATGTTATTTATAAATAAAATGCAAAAAGCCTAATCTTTAAAATATTTATGCTTTTATTGAAGAGCTATACCAAAAACAGTCGATGTCGGTGTCATGTGTCGATGTCACAGTCGGTGGATTAAAATTTTGCAGCGGCATTTGGCAACTAAATATTCAACAATAATAAAAACCCGTTTAAAAATTTAAAACTCGCTGATGTGAAATTCTTGGAACAATATTTTACCGCATAGCATAAAGCTACCGTAGTACGTACAATGTTTTTTTTTTTAAAATATTCGTTACAACAATTGAAATACTGAACAAAAATTCAAAACAACTCAAACAAAATTTCAAAACAAAAGGGAAGTATGAGCGCCCGTGAAACGTTTTAGTGATTAAAATAGGTAACTTTCTGCGCAGTACCAACTCCAAACTTTTTTTAAAACAAAACTGATATCCAGAAAAATATTAATAAATATGATTGTAAACTTTGTAATAGCGATTGAAGAGATATTTACCAAAACGAAGTATGAGCAACTGATCATCAAACCAAATATGAGCAAGCCACAATCAAAAAAGGTAGAAACAGATATATACTAATATATATTATAAATCACTATAAAAAAAAAGGCAAGAGCAATTCATAATTAAAACGAGGCATAAGCAATTTTATCTTTATGTGGTAATTTTCTAATTAAAAAGGATAATTGGTACTTTAAAATTCTTTATTGTTGTTTTTAAATTCATTTATTGTGAATTAACTTTCTATCTTTCCTATTAGAAGCAGCGTCCTTTATAATTAAAATTAGAAGCTTATTAATTAATATTAATTTTTGAACGTTCTTTTTAGAACAATATTTCTCGTACAAGGTAGTGGGCGAAGCTATTTATTCAAACTTTTTAATTATACTGCCTCAATCAAGTTGCTTTCTACAATATCGAATAATGATAAATATTTCGGTAAATTACGCTATTTGGAGAGGCATTCAAAATCGTTCTATTTTACAAATAAATATTTTTTAGTAATTAATAACCGCTTGAAAATATAAACAATTAAAATCAATTCAAACCTAAATGTGAAAAACTTTAAAAGTTTAATGCGAAAAACTTTAAAAGTAAAAATTACTGGTAGAGTGTGATTGTGTTTATTTTTTTTACTATACTATTTAACCAGGTTTATGTTTTGTAAAGAAAAAAAAAAAAAAAACATTACAAAGTGATACTTGGAAAACAACACGTTGTAGACTTAAGAATAACTTTTGAAATTGTGAAATCAATATTTTTTTTCTACCGTTTTGTACGGTTACGTATTGTACCGTTTGGAAACGCAAATGTCTACTTTACAAATTGTGTGAATAATACCATGAATACCATGAATAATACCATGAATAATACCATGGTTCATTTGACACCATACTTTATTTTACACCATCCGAGTCAAAATCAAAATATTAACAAATAACAAGTGTTAGTAATCACAAAGTTGAATGTTTAAAAAAAATTATATTAAAATAAATTGACTAAGAGAGTCTCAGTATAATTACAATGTTGGTAAATTGTTACTTTTTTGTTTTTTTCGAAAAGGCACTAAAAAAATACTAAGTAATGTGGCAGGGATAAGGACTACCTTTGCGAAAAACGAAATCTGAATGGAGATGGTATGCGAAGAATGCGATGAGTCTGAAAACACAAACATTTTCATGTGTACTCTGTGTTCTGATTCAGGGTAAAACTATTTTATTTATTTGGATTTAACGTATTTACAGAATGAACTTGTGTTATCATCATCTAAAGAAAGATTTAACAAAGTTTCGTTACTATCGATTACGCATTAGCTTAAGAACGAGTTGTGTACTGCCAACAGTTGGAAGTACACAACTTGTTCGTTACTGAGAACACACAAGTTCGTCGCAAGTTTGCTCGTCTGAGAACGGAAAAAAATTTAGAATTTCAACTTTAAAAAATATTAACTTTTAGCAAATGCATTATATTAGAGATAAAGGTAGATTTTTTAGTTACATAAAAATATTTCTCTTGAAATATAAAGCTTGTTTAAACATAATCGACCGTATTAAACTTAAAGAACATTGTTATATTTGTTTTATGATAATATATAAGATTTCGATTAGTTGAAATTTTAACTTATTATTTGACATTTTATTTGCTAACTAAAAAAATATTGATAAGTTTAAAAAAAATTTATGAGTACGTATTTAGCAAAATAGCGTTGAGGTTATTGCGTGACGCAAACGATTAAACGGAATTAATTTAAAATAGATTATTTTCTTCTGTAATTCATTTTTTAACGACTCAAACAAATCAAACATTCAGCTAATGTTAGATTTGTGATCACATCTAATATTAGATATAAATATGCGATGCTATAAAAAATGTTAATAAGATACCATAATTATCATATTGTTGTGAGCTAAAACAAATTGACTTTTTTTTTTTTGTGGGTTACTTTGAAGAAATTTTTTTTAACAAATTCAAAAAAGTATTGTTTACCACCTTTAAAAATCTACGCGAAATCGCAATACCATACTTCAAATTTAATTTATCTTCTTACAAAATACTTTATAAAACTTTACTCATTCTCAGCGGTTAAAATGTTAAGCGGGTAGCAGCGAATCAAAGTCTTCTTATTACAATAAGACAGTTGTTGGTAACAATCCGTGAATATTAACGTTTAAGTTAAAAATATTTTTTCATTATTGATTTTATTATCTATTAAAATTTTTTATCCATTTTTAACGCTGTTAAAAAACAACCGACGCACGAAAGACAAATATTTGTAATGACTAGGCATTTCTTAAGACTGCAAACGAAAACGACGATGGATTACTTTCTGGCGTTCTAGCAGTCTAAGCATGCTAATTAAGAAAAAAAAAGTGTTGATACCGAGCAGTGACGGATCCAGCATTTTTTAGCGTTTGAGAAAACTAACTTCCAGACATCGAGCTAACTCCAAACATTTGTATGTTTATACTTATGCTAAATAATGATGCTTTGCGTTGATTGGAGGCTGGGAACAAAAAAGAACTTCAATTTAATTCCAGCACACACACCCCAAACGGGAGGGGCAATAAGTTGATAAAATATTTTTTGTACTATTCTCAACTAGACTTATATTATTCGATAAATTTTAAGTTTCATACTATTATCTCTCAGCGTTCAAAAATTATGACCATATAAAGTTTAAATTGAGGGGGATACAAATTTTATTTGGTCATAATTTTGAAAACTATGAAACTCATAATTTATCGACGAATATAAGCCTAGTTTAGAATAGTACAAAAAATTCTTTTATCATCTTGTTAGTCCTCACGTTTTTTTAGATAAAATTAAAGGGATCCCAGTCAAATTTTTTGCAAAGCATCATTATTTGACTAAAGTATAAACATACAAGCGTTTTGAATTTGCTCCATGTCTGGAAGTTAGCTATCTCAATCACCAAAAAATGCTGGATCCTTAACTGAAGCCGAGGTTACCATTAGATTTTAAATTTTATTCATTAAATTTTAAGTGTTTGAAAATTATGACATTTTAAATTTGTAACCCTCTCAAATTGAAGAGTTCAAACTTGATATGCTCAAAGTTTAAGAACACTTGAAGATTATTGTATAAAATTAAATGTTTGTTGATGAATATAAATTTAGTTAGAAAAAAATTAACAAATTTATTGGCCTTACGTTTAGGGGAGAGGAAAGGGCGTCAATTAATTTTGTTTTTTTTTGTTCCATGCTTTAATTATTGTAAGGTTTTGCAAAATATCTTTATTTATCATAGGTTCAAACATACAAATGATTGAAGTTTGTTCCATATTTGGAAGTTGCTTATCTTAAAAACATGGTGCTGCCCTTGGCTAAAGCTATATTTTTTTTAAAACTGTATGTTTTCAAACTTTTAATATGGTGTAAACTCGTAAATAGAATTCAATATTAAAAAAAGCTATTTGCGTTTAGAGCGATAATCATATAAAACTTACAGTCCCCTCTTTTAATTTTGTTTTTTCGTTTGTTTTTTTTCTATTTTGGTTTGTTTTTTAACTTCTTTTATTTTTGTTCCGAAGATTCAAAAACAGCAATTTTTTGTAACTGATTCCTTAAATAACTCCAGTGTGAAAATACAAAATCTTGCATAACTTCACTTCCTAATGATTTTTAATAATTAAAAAAAATTATGCATAAATTTAGATTTTTTACCCGGATGTGTTTACATATATATATATATATATATATATATATATATATATATATATATATATATATATATATATATATATATATATATATATATATATATATATATATATATATATATATATATATATATATATATATATATATATATATATATATATATATATATATATATATATATATATATATATATATATATAAATATATATATAGGGGAAAGCGGGGCAAGATGGGTTTTCATATAACAACTCAACAAAAAATCTTAAAATTGGGTAAAAGCGAAACTGCATTTGTATCTTGTATTTTAAAACACTAATTGGTTTTTTTTAAATATTATTAATGCATTTTTATACGCATAAGTTTACTTTTTGCGCTTAAAAAAAAATTCCTCAGTTTCGATTTCTCATAATGGATGGTGTCCTTCAAGTTAAACTTTTTTAGAAGTAGTTTTTTGCGCCTTGTATTTGTTTTGTGTTACTTTAGTTAATGTTATTGGTAGTTTTTTAAAATTTTATAAAATTGGAGGCAAAAATTGCATAATAAGTCATCTTGCCCCGGTCACGTGACCAGATGAAAAATTTATGAACTCTTAATTTTAATATTTCTTTCAAATTGTTATATTTGCAAACTGAAATTTCATGCAGGCAATGAATTGTTTTAATAACATAAACATACTGAGAAAAGATTATTGCTTCACAACTGATAGTTTTGCAATAATTCAGGGCTTTCAAAACGTTTGCCTTGTTACCCCGCTTTCCCCTATATATATGTATATATATATATATATATATATATATATATATATATATATATATATATATATATATATATATATATATATATATATATATATATATATATATATATATATGTGTGTATATATATATATATATATATGTGTATATATATATACATATATATATATATATATATATATATATATATATATATATATATATATATATATATATATATATATATATATATATATATCATTAAAAGATCAAATTTTAGGCCATTTTTTATTGAAACATCACTACTATGTTTACCGAAAAAAAAAAATTAGTTATTTTTTCAATTTTATTAACTCAAACCATTGAACGATAAAAATTTAAATTTTTTAAATTTGAAATACTGAAAAATACTTAGTATTGTTAAAATATTAAAATTTTTTATTAAGTTTTGCTTTTATTCAGAATGCAATTAAAACCACTGGTATTTTAGGACTTTAAACTAGGTAATTTCAATGAAAAACACTGGATAATTTGAGCATGCTCATATAACACAAAAATGGCATCTTTAAATAAAGTCAAAACTAAAAGTTTATATGCATTTTTTTTTTTGATGAAAAATTTTTTATTTTTACTTTAGCACATTTGTACATATCAGGGGCTGTTCTAGACCCTTTTCTACAGCGTCGACCGTATTTGGGCGTATTTCTCCGCAACGGGGGTTGGGGGACCGCCGCTCATATTTTTTTCCTAGAATAGCCTCTGTATGTAAATAGGGGAAAGCGGGGCAACATGGTGAACGTTTTGAAAACCCTGAGTTATTGCAAAACTATCAGTCGTGAAGCAATAATCTTTTCTCAGTATGTTTATGTTATTAAAACGATTCATTGTCTGCATGAAATTTCAGTTTTCAAATATAACAATTTGAAATGAATATTAAAATTAAAAGTTCAGAAATTTGTCATCTGGTCACGTGACCGGTGCAAGATGACTTGTTATGCAATTTTTGCCCCCAATTTTATAAAATTTTAAAAGTTACCAATAACTCTAACAAAAGTAACACAAAATTAACACAAGTCGCAAAAAACTACTTCTAAAGAAGTTAAACTTGAAGGACACCATCCGTTATAAGAAACTGAAACTGAGGAATTTTTTTTAAAGCGTAAAAACTAAACTTATGCGTATAAAAATGTGTTAATAATGTTTAAAAAAAACCAATTGGTGTTTTAAAATACAAGATGCAAATACAGTTTCGTTTTCACCCAACTTAAAGATTTTTTGTTGAGTTGTTATATGAAAACCCATCTTGCCCCATTCGCCATGTTGCGCCGCTTTCCCTTATATTGAATTTATATCAAATATCATTCATAAAACAAGAAATTCATTTTCTTATAAATTGGTAAATAATTATGCATAAATTAGGCATTATTATGGAATCAGTAAAAAAAAAATATCATGGAATCAATCCCAAATCCTTTTTTACCATGTTGTATGAGTTAGTAAAATTGCATGGAAAAATGCGTAAACAAACAAATTTAATTAATTACAGTTATTGAAGCAATTTTTTCAGCAAAAAAAAAGGTATTCTTTATAAGTTCTTGATAATAAAAATCATGATGAAAAGACAAGAAATTCAAAAGTCAATTTAAATAAACTGATTTAGAATAAGCTCTGAATAAACTTTGAATAAAATCTGAATACATTTAAAATA